TCTCCAGTGGGGTGGAATGCTGCAGATAGAAGCTGGACAGCCCACAGGGCAGGCAAGCAGGGAAAGCTAGGCCTCTCAAAACCTCACATCCCATGGACTCCTCAAGGCAGGGTTGCCTCCTCCCCCCACCTCCTTTAGAAAGCCTCAGGTCTAGCTCGCCCCTCCTCCCATTGTCTTCTGGCTTATCACTGAACACAAACTTCCTGCCCTGCCCACAGGGACCCATCAGGAAATGGGAAAGAGGTACTGCATAGGCCAAAGAGTGGAGATAGGGACTCTTATGATGCACACCTGGAAATTGGAGGGGGGGACGTGTATACTGGTGGGATAAGCTTCCTGGCCCAAGAAGGTCTTCAGCTGCTGCCCAGGAAGGTGGAGAGCTAGGCCTCTGTAGTGGTGGCATCTGTTAGCCTAGGGCTGAGTAGGGGCCAAGCATCCTTCAGGTCTGCCAGGGAAGAGCACTAAGAGTATCCCCCAGAAGCCTTTAAACTCTATTGCCTCTACAAACAGTAAAAAGCGATTGTTCCTGGACTTAAAGGTACAAACACTGATTCAATAGCCCCCTCCTTGAGCCCACCCCCGAAAACTGACACACACAAAGAAAGCTTTGTCATTGATCTTTAGGAGACCTTTGTCTCAGCTCTGCCCAAGATTCACCCAAAGAGGCCCTGCCCAGCTCTCTTACACTACACAATGAAATTGGGGAGCTTTCTGGGTCTGAATCTCTTGCCTTCCAGAATCCTGCCCATCAGGAGTGAGCATGGCAGTCACTGGACAAGGCCTGGGCGCTGAGCCAGTGTCCCTCTCCCGCTTGGTCAGTTCAGAAGGACCTCAGAGTTAATCCTTAGCCCAGCAGGTTGGCCTCCCAACACTCCTGGTCCATGGGAGAGAGAACAGGTATGAGGCACCCTGGTAAATACGTGGTGCTAGGGAGTATGCTAGTGGAGTTCAAAAGTACTAACTCTACCCTTCCTGTTGGCTTTCTTCCCCTCCTCTCTAGAAGTCTGCGCACTCTTTTTAGTACCCAGGGATCTTGGGAGAAAAATAAATGATGCCAAAGTGATGCAAAGTAAAACCCTGGGCACTTGTCCCTGGGCAATCCCTGAGGCCTCCTTTTTCGGGACCTGGGGCGGTTCGTTCTTGTTCTGCGACTGTGTTGACCCACTCCTCAGGCTGTGGGTAGTGGGGTTCGGGCTCACAGGTTGAGCTAGGAGCCAGACTTCCTCACTCAAATTTCCTACATCTTGGCCCTAGCATCACCCTCAAGAGCCCAACTGGAGCTGCATGTGCCTGCAGGCCTGTCCAGGTTGCAAGCGGCGGAAGGTTCCGAGGTGGTGCTGCCCGTGTGGTATACCCTGAATGGGGAGTTGCCTTCATCTCAGCCTTGGGAGGTGCCTGTGGTGAGGTGGTACTTGTATCAGAAAGGGAAGCAAGAGATCCATGTGAGTGGCAAAACTGCAGCCCATAGAGGCTGTGGAGGAAAAGCTGGCAACAGAGCCGGGAGGAAAGACGGGGAGGGAAGACTTTCCGTGAAAAGCAAATGTCCTCAAAGCTTCCCTTTCTATTCAGATCTTGCAGGCTTCCTAAAATATTTTTCTTTACCCCAACTCTCCTGAGACAGCCAGCACATCGAACACAGAGGAAGCCGGGGGAGGTTTTAGTTTATTATTGAGTGGTAGACGTTGGGAGGTTGAGGAAAGGGCAACATTCAAAGCTCTGCGTTCATATTCTCTCTATTTATAAAAATCATTTTATTGGGGGCTCGTACAACTCTTATCACTATCCATACATGCATCCATTGTGTCAAGCACATTTGTACATTTGTTGCCATCATATTTTCAAAACATTTTCTTTCTACTTAAGCCTTTGGCATCAGCTCCTCATTTTGGCCCCTCCCTCATGAACCCTTGATAACTTGTAAACTATTGTTATCATTTCATGTCTTTCACTGATCGATGTCTCCCTTCACCTACTTTTCTACTGACCATCCCCCTGGGAGGGGTTATATGTAGATCATTGTGATCAGTTCTTTCTCCCTCTACCTTCCCATTCCCCTCCTTGTACCGCTACTCTCAATATGGGTTGGGAGGGGTTTATACGTCCTGGATTCCCTATGTCTTATCTGTACTTGTGTACATGCTCTGTTCTAGTCAAATTTGTAAGGTAGAATTGGGGTCATGATAGTGGAGGGTGGGAGGGAGCATTACGGAACAAGAGGAAAGTTGTATGTTTCCATGGTGCTACACTGCAACCTGACTGGCTCATCTCTTCCTTGTGAACCTTCTGTAAGGGGATGTCCAATTGTCTCTAGATGGGCTTTGGGTCTCCAATCCGCACAGTTTCTCATTCACAGTAATATGATTTTTTTTTTTGTTCTGGGTCTTTGATACCTGATCCCTGATCCCATCGACACCTCATGATCACACAGGCTGGTGTGCTTCTGCCATGTAGACTTTGTTGCTTCTCAGCTAGATGGCCACTTGTTTTATCTTCAAGCCTTTAAGACCCCAGATGCTGTATCTTTTGATAGCCGTGCACCATCAGCTTTCTTCAGCACACTTGCTTATGTACCCATTTTGTCTTCAGTGATCTTGCCAGGAAGGTAAGCATCTCAGAATGCGAGGATATTAGAACAAATTGTTCTTGCCTTGAGGGAGTACTTGACAAGGGGACCAATGTTCATCTGCTACCTTGATACTAAACATATAAATATATGCACATAGATTTATTTTCCTATCATTATATTCAAATATATTTACATATGTATTTATCTGTATTTAGACCTCTATAAATGCCCGTTACCTCCTAGTTGTTTCCTGTATTTCCTTTTATGTTCCTCTTCTCCCACTATCATGTTAGGCGTTCATTTGGGTTTCAGTAATTCCTCTAGGTTACATTGCCCTTGATCAAGCCCTACCAGCATCCAATGCCCTCCTAGCCATTGATTTTAGATCACTTGTTCCCTTGTCCCTGGGTTTGTTAATACTCGCTTCCCCTTTTCCTGTGTTCCCCTAAGAACCGCCGATCCGTTGCTTTCTCATCTGGATGATTTATCCCACCGATCTTATCTAGATAGACATGCAGGGACAATAATAACCACACACAAAAAAGGACAGAGAAAAATAAAACAAAACAACAACAATCAAAAAACTGACAACAGAAAAAAGAGAAAGTCCATAAAAATTCCCTGTATTTTGCAAACTGTTGGCAATGTCAGATGATCCAGTTAGACAGGCTGACTTATGTTTTGTGAAAAGCACAAACCACCCACATTTGCCTTCCTTCTGGGTATCTGCCTCTGAGTGTCAGTCACAGGCCACTTCTCAGATGATGGACACCTGTTCCCCTGCCCTTACTACCTCCCTGGGAGGTTTCTTAGACTGGGGGGGGACGAGAGAAACAAATCCAGAGACACCAGATATGTACAAAAAAGAGCTCCATATCAAAGAGTAATTGTATATTAAGAAAACATCCCAGCCCAGTCCAGATCAAGTGTATAAGTCTGATCCTACTCCATAAGTCAGACACGAGTCCATAAATCCCTCTTCTCAATCACGCAGCCATGCAATGATGCCAAATGCAGGAAAATCACAGGCCAGTGGATGAAAAGTACCTTAGATCCAATGGCCACGGATGCATCTCCAGGGCTCTGGCTGCCATCAGCGTGGCTTGTCAACAGGAAGGTGAAGCAGAGTGTGTGTGGCCCGCCTCCAGGGAGAAAGAGCAAGGGAGGCCAGCCTCATAAAGCCATTTATTTAGGTGGTCCTCCAATCAAGCTGCGACCTGATTGACAGGGTAAACTCTGCGCCCATGTTCCTAGGGGAGCCATGTTGGCACAGAATTCCTACCTATTACAGGAGGCAAGGAGCCGACCACCTCTTCCCATGATCTGCTATCTGCCATCACAGCAGATATGCCCAGAGGCTGATCAAGCCAAAAGTGAATGAAACTTCATTTTTAACTCCTCTTACTTGCACAGGTTACTACTTCTAAGGTCCTAGAAAACATCTTCACAGAGTCATTTGTTCTTCTATTAAAAATGAAAACATTTTCTTGTCTTTTTTAAAGATCCCTCCCATCCTCTCCCTGTACATTTCAGGCCCTATGAGACCCAGGTTTCTCCCAGAAATCTAGCCTCCTGTTTATAAGATCTCTGCTCCCCCATCATGTCACCTTTCTAAATGCCTCAAGTGGGAGAGGAAGAGACTATGTAGAGAAGAATTCTAACTATTTGGGTGCAGTTGATTCTGGGGTATGAGAGGGTGGCCAGAGTGGGCTTTGGGGCAGGTGAGAAGGAATTGATCCAGGTGAGGGGTATATGCAGCATGGCAGCTTCAGAAAGTTTGTGGACACAGTGGATGTGGATAATAATAGGGAGGTTTTTTGTCCTGTACTAGGTGTTATCTTATGGCATTGGAGGTATGTACAGCAAGCCCAGAGCATCTCTGCTCTACCCTGAGCCCTCCCGGAACATGTCACTTCGGCTGCAGGACCTCCAAGAGGAAGACTCTGGGTCTTACCGTTGTACTGTGTTTATATATGACAATCAATTAAAAGAGCTGGGACACCGCATCATAAGCTTGGATCTGGATGTGCTGGGTAAGTGAGAAGCACAGGTGTTCTAATTCCACCCCCTCTCTTCAGGGAAGACCAGGCAGGTCTTTCTTCCAAATGGATTGGGGGAAGGACAGGCAAATGGAGCCACAAAACGGAGTATTTATGATGGTTGTGATGGTGGTGTACGTGTGTGGGGGGAAGGGGCCTAGGGGCAGGGATCGACCTATGGGTCCCTTAAGTGGAGTTTTTATGCTGTCTCTCCTCCCAGTTCCTCCTACTTCTCCATCCTGCCATCTCCAGGGCGTGCCCCGTGTGGGGAACAATGTGGCCCTGAGCTGCCAGTCCCCAAGGAGTAAGCATGCTGTCCAATACCAGTGGGAGAGGCTGCTCCCATCCTCCCAGGTCTTCTATCCACCAGTTTTAGGTGAGAGAACCTCTTAAAACAACTGAGACTATGACTGAGGAAGGGGAAAGATGAGATTTTCCAGAGGGACCAGGATGGAAAGGGGAGGCGATACTGAAAACTATTGGGGGTAAGGAGAGTGAGGATGATGGGGGAGGGTGTAGTAGGCATGGAGAAAGAGCCCTATAAGGAGCAATCATCTCCATCTGACCTAATGGCCCTAGATCACTGCATTCACATTGCAGGTTTGCTACTCACAGTGCGACATATCAATAGCTCTCTTTTGAACTCACAACTTTAAAAAGACATTCAGGGTAAAGCTGGACCATTTTAATATGGTGGGAGTATTATATGCTTTTACAGAATTGTTATTAATTTGTCAGTAATAGCAATGGTAATGTTGTTTATGGGGCAATATTCTTGTATCTTCAAATTTCACGCTGAGACAGACCTATCATGGCAAAATGTTAACAGTTGTTGAGTCCAAGTGATATCCATATAGTTTG